GAATTTGGAAACTTAAAAGTATGGAATTTGGAAACTTACTTGTTTGGGTTTCACTATAAGTTGTTGAAATTATTATGTGATAAAAATGAGTGGTAGATAAATTGAGTAGTATTTAAGGATCCTACGAAAGATGTAGTTAAGATTAGAGTTTGATTTCAACTTTTAAATTATACAGAGCTTATAATGAAACATCAACGAGCACTTGTCTTTTGAATTTTTTTCCCAAGAAACATAAGGTGATAAGGATGTCAAAAATACTAACAAAAATTTGACCATGTTTTGTTGCATCTAAAAATTACTTTTTTGTGTGGTTAATCTTAGAAGGAACTTAAAAATAGACTTAGTTTTTATACAAGTGCAGTCTAACATAATCTAACATGCTTAATGAAACTACCATACATGCACTCTTCGAGTATTATCCTATCATACTATTTTGTAAAAGAAAATTTGTCTCGTGTTGTATGACATTTTATCATAGGATTCCACAAGCTAGTGTGATACCTAACAAATAAATTGATTTTTTCCTAATTTGAGACCACATGGTATGTTGTGATGAACTTGAAATAATAGTGCAAAGGTCGGTAGTGTCACGTTCACTAGAAGAACGGGGAAAAAAATCTGACGTAGGCCTGTGTTGAATAGTTTTTTGAACAAAATTATATTCATTTCAAATGATTTCATAGAATATAAAGCATGCAGCATGACCAACAATGTTGTCATAAAATGACCACGTAAAATGTAAGTGAAACAAATGGGTCATAAAACCTAGAAAACTTACGCAAAAATTTGGCTGGACCAAAGTTTTCATATCCATTGGAGTGTCAAAAAGAATGGACTTGGACAACGAGGTTATAACTCATTGTCTTGTTTTTAAGATTTAAGTTGCTCTTATTTTGCTTCTTGTTATTGTGAAAATCGCTGCTGTTTTTCTTGTACTTATCTATGAAAGTATTTCAATTCTCCAAGTTGTCTCTTGCTTGCTCATAGCTTTGGCTCTTCCATATTTATTTAGTTTCGATTTCCCAAAACTTTTATTACTACGCCCTTCATTTTCTCTTTCGATTGTTGCTAATTTGATAGGCCAATCAAATGACCAACTTTTGTGTGTATTATAGCTCGATCCCATAGAAGTAAGAATAATTTTATTCATCTCTAACGCAGATGACTCAAGAAATAATTGATTCGAACTCCTTAAGAAAAGTACCTATTTAAAGTGTTTATTTCATCTATATATTTCATCCCATTTTTCTAGTATCCGAATTTTAGTAATAACTGAGCTAGATTTTAGGGCAGTACTTGGTTTTTACAGTTGATTTGACTGAGCTAGGTTGGGCAATCTTTTACAACAATAGTATTTTTCACACTGATCGAGCATGTTTGGGCATTTTCAACCTTTTTTAAACTGGTTAAACATGCATGAATCATACATTTTATACGATTGACTACTTATTATCAAGCATACTTTTTGCATCACCCACCACATTAGAACTCAAAAGCAATACAAAACAAGCACGTGATATAAAAAATGCACGGAGAAAAAACACAAAGTTGCATCTAAAAATTGAAATGTAAAGAAGTCAATAGCATAAAACAAAATAGACAACGGATGTATATGAGATAGATTCAAAACATAGGAACTCACTTGGGAATATTATACTTTTGAACATTTCCTAGTAAATTCAATTACACCAAAATAATACTATTGTCACTGTCATAGATAATCAATGCATTCAAAAATTAATCTGAAGATTATTCAATGAATAGATAAACGATTTTTGAATTAAATTTCTTGATCAGCAGAAGCTCCACAAATCGATATCACCATCTTCATAGGAATCCTCCACATTAATGGATCAAAGAACACCCCATTGAGCATATAATCATTGTACTTGGGGGAATCAAAGATGTACCATGATGAGTCCATCATTCTGATCAATGGCTAGTCTGCTACACATTCATCAAAAGATGGAGCCAATGAAACTTCATAATCTTCAAACCGATCTGAGGGTGAAGAAGTAGACAATGCTAATGAGGGTGATGGCAAAGAACTCGATGATGATGAACCGGAAGAAATGGATTATGGAGATTGTACAATCAAATGTCTCGAGTTTTCAACAAATGCGGGTGATGGAATTGATGGCAAAAAATTTGATGGTGAAAAGCTGGAGAAAGTAGAAGGTGGAGATTGTAGACTTAAATTCTTCGTGTTTTCAAAAAATGACGTGCGGTTACTATGTGTTGTTGCGGCTGTTATGATTCGTTCAATGGATTTAGGTGACAAAATGGCATTGGGATTAAGATTTTGTGAAGCTGAAAATGGAAAATTTAGGCTAGCTGAAGGGCCCACAAGGCACAATAGGGCAGCATCATATGTCCTAGTAGCTGCCTCTAGGGATGAAAAAGAACCTAACCAAATTCTTGTCTTTTGATTAGGTGCCCTTATTTCAGAAACGCAAGAACCCCAAGTTCTAATTTCAACTCCCTTATACTTCTTTTTGCACTGCGATTTTGAGGTCGAGGTCGAGAACTTGTTTTCTGCCTTCACCATTGTTAGAGGAATTTAGAATCAATGAAGTGATTTTTCTTTCTTGAAGCAAAGTAAAAGAGAAGTTATTGTGGGTTGATATTTATAAGTATAGAATTCCACAAAATTATGGTAAAATCTCAAATTCTTGTCCCTTTCTCCACATGGGCTTGCATAAATTATGCATCCTCAATTGTCCTCCTTGGTGACACATGCCCCCTATTTTATTTTTATTTTTTATGATGGAGGAACTCGCAGTCGCTACCCTTCGGGTGCGCATTGGGTAAATCCTCGGGCTGACACAATAGCCTGCAAATCACGCTAACTAGATAAAACGCATTAGGTAAACCCTGTACGACAGGCTCGACCAAGAAAGATACATGCCGCCTATTTTATAGGCTACAAACGAAGTGCATGGCAATAGAGCATGACAATATAATGTGGAATTCATTTATTAAGACAAACACATAGAGATCTTTCTGGGATCATGGAGGATGCTTTGAATTTACACCACATATAGACAGGATGGGACCCAGGAAAAAATCAAGTTTGGGCTTTTTACTTAATTAATATTTGAGCTAAAGGAACGGACTGCAGCACAATCCAATCCATTCTTAGATCCACCCTGCATATAGAGACTACACCAACCAATGCTTAGAAAAGCAAAATAAAGTATTAAAAAGAAAACTCATTATAGACCATCTTTCACAATCAATTATTTCTTTATCAAAAACTAGCGTCATGACATCGAGATTCCACTAAAGAAATTTTGCATAATAATTAGAAAACATGCCTTAATTTCCATCAACGGAACAATGGGTAGATTGAGACAAAGTATTTTGCCTTTCCTAAGCTCGGGGAATAAGAAGTAAACTTGTCTCTAGAGCTAAAATTGCTAAAATTATATACCATAATTTGATGACCAATATTCTAAATTCCAACATTGCCCTAATATTATATAGGTAATTGGCACAAAACATCCCTACCTTCCATGTCTATTGTGAAAAAATGTCCATACCCTTCATTTTTTGGCATATTTACCTCTATTTTCACATTTTTTGATGCTAAACATTCTTTTCATCAATTTTGAAATGTTTTACCATCCATTCAAATAAAACAAAAGGAAAAGAAAGGAAACAACAAATTATTAAGTACAACCACATCCCCCATTTTTTAAAAAATTACAAATCAGTCACAAATATATACAAAATTTTCAACATAGGTGCCAACAACAATGGAACCCAATTTCTGGCACCAAGGCCCACCATCTCCTCATCAACCCTAACATCCCCACACCAATTTAAGCCCCAAATTCTAGCAAAATCGAGCCAAATTTTGCCAAAAAATCACCTCTCACGCACGATATTATTGCAAACTTGACCAAATCTATGGATGCCCATGTTCCATACAACCCACAAGTTGCTCAAGCTCATCAAGATGCATCCATATTTCCAATTACAACAAACAACCCAGAAAATCGAGATCTACAGCCAATTTTCGAGTCAGCGAACTCGTGGTCGACAAAGCCATTTTTCGACAATGGTGGTGGGACCTATGATCGCCTACCACCACCACAGGACACCATAGTGCATCTATTGAGCATATGGGTCTTCCCCAATTTGGCATTGAAATAACTGTTCGTTCAGAAAATAGTGAACACGCATAGAAATTGGTTCATCCCCTTTCAATTGGCATCCCTCCATGACTCCAATCTACAAATTGCATCAATCAGCATCCATTTGAAGGTCAAACGACATTGGCTATGGATTTAATTGCTTCAATTCATCAGCTAAATACAACAAATTTGGATTTGACCTCATGGGATGTGTGATTGCGCGAAGAAAATAATTATCCATCAATTCGTGAGTCTAATGAGTCCCAACATATGAATCAACTTGGGGACACTCAAATTCAAACCCAAAAAACACTGGATAATGATTCAAATTTAGAAATTACAGTACTCGTTTGCCAAATTTTGGAATCAAATGGTGTTCTTCACACACTTGAAGAAGAATGAACATAAACTGGATGTCATTTGTAATTTTTTTAAAAATTGGGGGTTGTGGTTGCAATTAATTGTTTGTTGTTTACTTTCTTTTCTTTTTGTTTTATTTGGATGGAGAGTAAAATTGTTCAAAATTGGTGAAAAAGACGTTCAACGTCAAGAAATGTGAAAATAAGGACAAAAATATCAAAACATAAAAAGTAGAGACATTTTCCACAATAAAAATGAAAGATAGAAACGTTTTGTACCAATTACCCATATTATATCATGTACAAACCAAACGAGATGAAGATGAAGCGCTTGGGTGGGAAACCAAATACTACAGTAATTGTCCTAGCTGGCACCTCGTACCATAACACGTAATGACACGATTGGTAGAACCAAATAGTAGATGCGTGGCGCGAAGACACTGACTTTCTATACCCACTCGCACTTTATCACGCGATTTTAATAAGTCAATTCCCCCACTCATTAGGCGCGCGTGTTCTTCTCATCTACTCCAAGAATAAAATTCGAGATTGCAGATTTTGCACAAATCCGATCCGATTCCAGCATTCAGCCTCTCAATCAACATTTATACTTACATACATAGTAATACAGATGAAGTCAGTAGAGGTCTGTATGTTGTGGGTGGTGTTAATGGTGGTGGGGTTGGTGGTGCCGGTGACGCGGGGGATATGGTTGGACGTGCCGAGTTCAGGAACAAAATGCGTGTCGGAGGATTTGCATAGCAAAGTCGTCGTTTTGGCTGATTACTTTGTTATCGGCGATGAGCATCATATAAATAATAGCATTGTCCCCACCATTTCCGTTAAGGTAAATACGCCTACTTGCTTGTATAATTGATTTTCACGCTCTACCCATCTTCCGTTTCCCTAGGGTTTTTGGTCGTAGAATTGATTGTATAATTTGGCTATTGATTTCGTTAATCTGATCGTCGATCGGTTAATTAATAACGCGTAAATGTGTTTATGGTGCCATATAGGTGAGATGTAATAGAAATTTGGTACAATTTTGGAAGAAGTTTCAAAGAAGATTTGCTGTGAAGTTGCATTTACTTTAAAAATTGGAGGTTATTTTTTTACTTTAAATATTAAACCAAGAAGAAACAACACTAGTAAAAGCAATTGTACAATTACCTTACCTATTACTATGTGTAGAGAGAAAATTAGTGTGTTGCATACGTGGGCGCGCTCATGATGAGCACCAGCCATGGTTCTTTGTGTAGGTGGCACGAGAGTTCAGAGAACGAGGCATCAAAAGTGGTGATTTTTTTCAGTTCATCTGCATAAAATAGTAATTCGCATATAGAAAAAGAATTGTTTGTATTTGGATAATGCTCAATTAAAGCTTTTCACAAGTTTCACGGACCATTAGTGTTAATTTTTATCTTGCAGCTCGGAAACTTTAAAATTCTTTCCGTTTTAAGTCTATTGAGGTTTCTTAGAATGAGCTTGAAAATGTTGCTATTTTTGGTGTGGGGGAAAGGGGAGAAGTTGATGAGTTTTACAAGGGAGGGATCGATGAGTTTTTAAAAGGATTGCAGAGTATAAAATAAAGATCAAGTGCTTCAGCAGGGTAGAATGGTTGAACTGCGTGTGCTGTATGTATAAAATCTGTAGGCGCTGGACACCAACATCATGTTAAACAAAATTCAAGAGAAAGGCTAGTAATTATGATTGATAGTGGAAACTTTTTGTGAAGATTTTCAATTACATCAAAATTCAACATATTTAATTCATTTCTGCCCCACTCTGGTAGTCATGCCAGTTCTTAGTAAATTGTTCTATTGTAAAATTTTCAGTTAAAATAGTGGTGTTATTACGAAAGGACTGGAAACTTAAAATTTTCCCTCATGTGCACTGCACTGTACTTGCATTGCTTTTCGTGTTGGGAGAACAGTGAAGATGGAGATGAATGATTTTAACAATCCTTTTGTCTTAGTTCCTAGTTAAAGTCTCATTCTTGAATCATCTTATTTAGGTTACTTCACCATATGGTAACAACCTTCATCACCAAGAAAATGTCACCCATGGTCAATTCGCCTTCACGACAACAGAGTCTGGCAACTACTTGGCATGCTTCTGGAAGGATAACAGTCATAATGGAGGTGGGAATATGAACGTTGGTCTTGAGTGGAAAACTGGAATTGCCACGAAGGATTGGGATTCAGTTGCAAAGAAAGAAAAAATTGAAGTAATTTATCCTCGAAATTTGTCATTGTTATAGGGGCTTGATGACAATAACAATGATAATAATTTCCCTCTCTAAACACTTATTTTTATCTTCCTCCGTGTTCTTAAGTTGCCAATTTTTTTCCTTTAGGGTCTAGAACTTGAGTTACAGAAGCTTGAAGGAGCTGTGGAAGCAATCCATGAAAACTTAATCTATCTCAAAGACAGGTAATTTGCAGTACGATTATCGAATGAGTGCTTTTCTTTATCATCTCTCCAGAGTGTTCTTGCCTGATTCTTCTCTTTAACATTCTTTGAATTTTGAATTTATTCTACTTCTTCGTCTTCTCATGATGGAGTTGCAATCGATTTGCCACATGTGTTTTGGAGGAGTACATGATGACGTTTATTTTATCAAATTGGCTAAATAAAGAGATGACAATCTTCAATCAAATTGCAAAATTATTATATTGAGAACTGTTCGCGAAAAATATCCTTCAAATTAAAATCACCAAAAGTGTACGGTTCGTTAACAAGTAATAAGTGGATGTGAGTCCAAGTATCGTTCCCACAGAGATTGGTTTAGTTCAATTTTAAGTGACATGGCCTCAACTAAAACAATAATAAAGTGATGATTTTGTTTATACTAAATTATAGGTAAAATTATTAAAATATAAAATCATAACTAAAGTAACTAGGTTTAATGCTAATTATACTAAATGCAAGTTTATGTATTCTTATGAATGACAAACGTATTAGGATCCTGAATTCCCTTGTAATAATCCTTTTTAACTTTAGTTCTATAGTTTGACAACACGATTGAATTATGAAAAATCAATATTTCCATTTTATTTAAAAATCTTTCTTGATTGAAGTTGAACCTACTCTCATTTATGATCCGACTATATTTCTATGACAAACGTTAACATACAAAAGTGTATGAAATTTTTTGAACACTTAAAAATTCATATAGAGCACAGCAGTATATTTATACCCCATATCGGACCCTATGATGATTAACACTACGTCAAGCCTATATTCTTTCTTTCGAATGTATAAAATAAGCTACCAAATTCAAACAATTACCATGCACAATAATTGTAGAGAAAAGATAATCATGTAAATTGTTAAAAATATAAAATTAAAGATTAAAAATCATATTATAAGGTTCATCATTCTCTTAGCACAATGATTTTTAGCCTAATATGATGTTGAGAAGAAAACTAGAATTGTATAGAGTAGATATCACCTAAATTATGCTTTTAGATTGGATCTTGAAGTCGTGGAATCTCTCTTGATGATTCTTGTCGCCTTCTATGCTCTTCAATGAGTTCTAATGCTCTTCAATGAGTTCTAATGCATCGTCTTATGTTTCTGAGCCCCATGTCTTAAAAGACGTTAAGATTGTTTCCATAAGAGTTGGAGTCATATAAAATCAAACTTTTGCCTTCGTTAAACTACTATGCGACCACACAGTTACTAAGTATGTGACTGCATAGCTCAATCATGTCCACCTCTTGAATTTCCTGCATCACTCCATGCGACCACATGGAGAACTAGGCTATGCGATAGCTTTGAATAACAATCCAGTTTTGCGGTTTAGTCCCCGAACTCCATTTTCTCGTTTTTTGATCTCTTTTCTCACTATTTCTTCCAAGGTTTTATTCCTTTGCTCAATTTGTTGTCAACTTTCGTTTCTTCTTCTGGATCATTTTTCGACTATTTGCACTTTAATCCTTGATCTTTGGTTTTCTTCCATGTTAGTCCTTTTTTGCTTGTTTTCTTCAATTTCATCGTATTCATCAATGTTAATCTCCAAAATACAATTTACATTGAATTAAACCATATTCCAATACATTTACCAACAATTCTTCTATGTTTTGTGGCCTAAATAAGTGTATAAAACTCACTTATCAAGAGCCGCAAGATATTGAATATAAATATACAGGCAACTACTTCATGTATGAATTTTAGAGATTTAGGCATGAAGACTTGCATATCATCTCCTACTGCCCCAAATTGACATGCACCAAACATGATAATACTGATGAACTCTTTCCAGAAGAGCAGAAACCATTATTATTTTAGCATGAACTTTTTTTTTTTTTATCTTTTTCTTTCTTTTTTTTTTTTTGAGATATTTTATGATTTGTATATTGCTTTTGCTTTTATATCTGCTGTTCATGGAAAATATTTTTGAAAAAATCACGTTGAGCTAGCTTCCTCTAAAAGCTCCTTTAATTAGACCATACACTTCTAGCAAATTATCTAAATAAGTCCATAAGTAGATTCTTAGCCCCAGTTTGATGGCATTATTTGTTCAAAATAATGTTTTCAACAGTGAAGCTTCAGAGAATTTGTTATTGAACGGTAGGAAAAAGTTTCGGATTTATGTGCAGAATATTATATTACGTGAATCATTGAATCTATTGTTGAAAATGAGCACATAAAATAAAAAGTTTTGAAATAATAGTTGTGAAACAGAGGCTTATTAAGCATATTGTGTCCTTTCAATATATTCCAGATACAATATAAATGAAGCACCTTTCTTTTCGAGAATAAAATGCAAATGATTTCCAGATGACTTAGAATTAAAATATTTTGTAGTATATAGATATTTTTCGACACTCATGTTTGTACTATGTAGTACCTTTTTCATCATCAAATTGTAACAGAAATTAATAAAAATCAAACTGAATTACTTATATGTCCTTTGTGCGTGCAGGGAAGCGGAGATGAGGGAAGTGAGTGAGAGAACAAATGCCAGAGTTGGTTGGTTCAGTATCATGTCCCTCGGTGTCTGCATTGTGGTTTCAATTTCTCAGTTATTTTATTTGAAGCGCTACTTTCAGAAGAAGAAACTAATCTAGAATTTAACAGTTCCTTTTTTTTTTGGCCTCATAAAGATTCCAATAACTTCATAATTTGAAGAAAAGAAATTTTCCTTACGTGGTTGTATGATCCTGTATATTTCAAAATTTTCTTTCTGACATGTGTTGGAATAATTTTTGCTAGTTATTAGATATTGAATGATGATAAAGTTGGAAGAAATCGAAATGAACTTTGATCTTCATTACAGTAACGTCCACTATTAGTAGGGGTGGGCAACCAAACCGAATCAAAATTTTCGGGTATTTAGTAAATAGAATCGTTGGGTCCAAATATAATTATGGAACCGTTCGGGTTCGGTATTATAATTAAAAATTTTAACATTTATAACAACATTATATAAATACAATTAATGACACATTCAATGGTTTTGAAATGTCAAAGACCGGTAGACTACCTTGTTCAAATGATCGTTACGGTCAAAATTTCAGTTGGCGGAGGTCACAGCGTCGGTAGACGATTATATAGGTTCTGGAATGTCAGCGAGGCTGCAAGAGTCGAGACAGCATTATGCATTTTAGTGTAAGTATTTAGGGTTATTTAGTGGGTTGGGTCTTGTTGGGCTAAAAAATGAGATAATAAAATAGGTAATTGGGCCAAAAATTAAAAAATTAGAAATGAAACAAATTATTGGGCCAAAAATTTGGATTTAGAATTTGTTAATTTGTTTAGAAAAAATTAAAATTAAAACAATTTGATATATTCAATATAAAAAAAAATTAGAAAGATTCGGTTCTTCATCTAGAACCGAGAGCAGAACCGTACCCGTCAGTTCTTAATTCAGATACCCGTTCGGATATTTAATTTGACAAGAACCGTCGAGTTCAGTTCGATCGGTTCGATTCGCGAGATTTGTCCAGCCCTAACTATTAGAGATAGTGAATGCCTATTTCGTACTATATTTAAATTTTACTTGAAGTGGCTTGCATGTTTGGTAGGTGATTGAATTATAATTCAAGTGTTTACAAGATATGAGTTTTTTGGAATGTGAAAATAACAAGTGCGTAGCAGTTGTGAGTCCTACATTAGATGTAGATAAAATGTATATTTCGGCTAAAGTTATTATAGAATAATCATCAACCGAACATGTCATGTCACCTGTCATTTCAAGTGAAATTTCACCTGAAGTGTGAAGACATGGATATGCATTCCAACTATTTTTCCCATCAAATGTTCCTTTCTGAATTAGGGCATGTGATCTTATCTATGCAAATTAATTGATTTTGGTAGTGATTTTATGCTTCTTAAATGACCCTAATATCTATGTTGTGGTTGTCAATTATATGTTGATCGACGAAACGTCATTGTGACACTTAAAAAGTTGTGCTCACATATGGTAAATGTCATACTTGTTTGACATGTAATATTAGATAAAGTAGAATGAGATTGTAAAATTCTTTTTACATTGATATTATTGACTACTTGTGTTATTTGAGAGAGAGACTTCTTAAAATCAAACAATTTCCACTTTTCTATCGAAAAAGTGGGTTGTTTGGGCTCACACTAAAGGCAGGAAGAGGTAGTGTCTACTGGGATTCATTTGAAATGGATCAATTCTTTGGATTAGAAAACTGATTTTTTACTTATGAATTGAACTACAACCACTACTCGCTACCCAAACTGAGATGAAAAATAAGGATGGGGCAATATTATTCGATTCCCGAAAAGTTTTTGAAGAAATCGTAGAACAAAACAGGTCAAGTCATGTGAAAATGTTAATACAATCACTAACTTAACTTCCACAAATCGAATTCAAGAGTCTGAAGTCTTGAAACCTCAATTTTTGTTGCTCGAGTGAGATTGTCATCAATTCAATATAAAACCTTTTTTTTCCCTAAATAATTAAGAAATATACGAATCAAAGCTCCATGTTTCCAAAATCTAGCTTCTTCATTTATTTTTTTATTTTTCCAAGTGGCATGGTCAGCTCATTATCAGAAGATACGATAAAAATTCAAGAAATCAAACATTAATTTCTTGTTGATGAGGTTATAAAAAAGCAAAACCACATCCCTCCATTCAGTCCAATTTGTTCTTAGATATGAGGTGAGAATCCACCAAACTAACGATGGAATCATAGTACGAATGCACCAAATTTACTTTAATTATATTTTGACTCAGACAACTATCTTGAATTTGGTACATTGTATTAAATTGCATTGAACAAAGGGATAGGATTACACAAGTTTAAACTTATCAAGTACTTAGAAGTTATCTTTATTGAATTGGAGATATGGATCATTCAATCTTGTAAATTAGTAGAGCTTATGAGAGGAAAAGTGACATTTGATTTGAACTTTTAAGAACATAAGAATTTATCTTCATGCATGTTACCAGAAAATCCCACATTTTTTTTCCCGGAAAAGAAAAACTACACATTTAATATACTACTATGATCTTGCAAAATATGTTGAGTGCATTTTACCTATTGGTACAAAGAACTTTGTTATATATTATTATCAACAATGTCACTTTCCTAAGGTATGAGTAAGTAGACTTTGCCCATGCAACAAAAAAAATTGTATTATTATCGACTCCTCGTTTTCTTAAACGCATTTCTTTTTCATTTTATTAAATTATGTCCAATTGAACTGGCAAATTTGTCTGGATTATTTTCTTTTATTGGATCATTTTTTTTTTTTTAAAAAAGCTATTGACTTCGTAATGAGAAAATCTTGTGTGAGGCCCCATCATGAATTGACATGTGTACAAACTTTTTCAATTGTGTATTTTTTAATTGAAAAGTACGCTGGCTCCAACTTTTTGACATTTCTACTGCCGTGTCTCACTCTCCTTTTGTATTGATTTGTTTGTTTTACATTCTTATGTTTTTTAAATATTTTTCCTTTTTCCTTATTTTATTTTTTTGAAAAGTGACTAGAAATCCCTTTTTAAAATGAAGAGGCAAAGAAGTTGTCCTAAATATAATTTCAAACCAAATTAGAACATATATTGCAACAATTCTTAACAAATAACAAACTAGTAATAATGCTTTTTATATACAATAATGTCAAAGCAAAAACACTTTCATCAAAGAAGACAATATTTAATATTGTCTGAAAATAATCATAATCCATCTCAATTTTGTGTGTGTGGAAATTTAGGAAAATAATTACACAATAAACCCCTCTTTATCTTCTGCAATAACTTCATATACAAAATATCATACTTCAATCACTTGAAAAGTGTAAACAAACAAATAAATCAAATTTACAAATCAAATTCATTGGCACAAAACTTATAACTTCTTCAAATGCATTTTATTTAATAAAGCTCATACTAGTCTCATATCAACACTTTAACTATGTAGTCATTAATCGTTTCTCTATAGATCATCAAAATTATAATAACTTGGATCCTACATAAAAATAATTGATTGATTGATTGAGGATGATGATGATAATAATAATAGAAAAATTACCTTAATCAAATAATACATATTGATGGGGCTTTGAAGCAATGGCGGATCCAGAGGGCGGCCGCTGGGATATAAATATATTTTTTGTCAGTAATAAATTAAATTTTTACCTTATATTGTTGGTAATTGATTTTATTTTCAAACATACCCTATAGCTTACTTGGTGAGTGTTAGCTTTAATATACTTAAAGTCTTAGGTTTGAATCTTTGTCAATGGATTTGTTATGTATTATTTTAATATATGATTTTTACCAAAATTCAATAAGAGAGGGTCAATGAGGATTTGAATTCATGATCTCAAACCAAGGGTTGTGGTAAACTTAACCATTATGTTACATCTTGAATTGTGTTACTAAGTTTAACAAAATGATATTTGTTAGATTTTGATCGTTTTAATGCAAATAATTTTAAATATTTGAATTCATACTCCTCCTTTGAATTATACAAAACTTGGCAACAATGTTATTTGATGAGTTTTATTTATTCCTATAACAGAATTATATATATTCATTTTGAACAAAATAATTGTTATATTTATACTTTAGGCCTTGTTCGATTCCCCCCTTTTTTAAAACTACATTTTTTTCATCTATACATTCTTCAATAAAATAATATTATACGTAAATTCAAAATTTTTCTTTATTTTTAGGCACACGTTCAGACGTTCTCCATCAAATCATCATTCCAAAATGCATTTTTTGCAAAAAAAATGAATACCAAAAGGACTTTTAATATTTTATTGCGGCTAACGGTCAATGATCAATGGCCGCCCGTGCTGACTCAAACTCTTGGATTCGCCACTGCTTTGAAGCATGCTTGAAAGGTAAAAATTTGATTGCATGGGTGCTAAGTGATGAATAAATGGGGTAAAGGCAATCAACGTAGGTGAATATGTTGGGTATGGTGTGTCACCCTCTTTTGGATGATTGTCTTCTCCAACTATAAGCCAAATGTAATCATCATAAGTGACCAAAAAAAAAAAAAAAAAAAAAAAAAAAATCATGTATTACTTAAGAATTGAATAAGGGTAATAATTGTAATAAAAAAAAAATCCTATTTATTACTTTTCTTTTCCTTCCTTTTCTTTGGCTCCAAAGTGCTTTTTAATCTTGCATTTGTTATGCCTTTGGCTTTCACGGTTGGTAGATTTAATATTCTTGGCTCATCCACAAGAGCATCACAAGTAAAATGAGCATTGTTTTTTCTAAACTTTTGAAACACGTTGATAGTTTCCTCATCCTTTTCAAGTAACTTCATTGCTTTCACTAACTTTTCTTTGACAATCTTTGTTCCTGAAATTGTCATTGAGGCAACATTATAGACATTATTTCCTTCGTGCATCAAACTCACTAAGGTGTAATGATTTGGAAAATTTCTCATCGTTTGCCATTATTGACAGGTCACTTTTGTCATTACGCGCAGCAATTCCTTTCTGTGCCTCTTTAGTCCATCTTTTTATTATGAGTTGTGTTGGTATGCAAGTGAGATTATTCAAATCGAACATCTTTAAAGCACATCGGCATGAAATCCCATTGGAGTTTGTGCACTCTTTGTTGACCTTCTTCAACTGCTTCATATGTGTAAAGTTCATAATCTCTACACACTTCTTTCATCCTCACTCTAATGCAACCCATTAGCTCATTTTCAAAAGGACTAAATATTTTTGGGGTATATACATTAACTACATGACTTAAAAAACCACACCTTATGGACAGACGAGGAACACCATGTTTGCATCGATAATCATCTTCAATTCAGCCAAGCGCATTTCTTCCATTTTCAAATAGTGGTGTACAAAATTAACAAGGCCCATTGTCTTGGTAGAAATTTAATGAAAGATATTATTTGTGCTCTCACTCCTTTGGGTGGACTTTATATTTGCTGAAAATGTATCCAAGCTAAAAGCACGACACCACTTTCCTCGCAGCGAAGACAATTTCTTTAGCCATGAGTGACTTGCGAGGTCAAACTTTTTAATTATATCATCCCAAGAAACTTGAAATTCTTCTACACTATAACACCCATGGAAACATTTATTGAACTGCCTTTTGAATTCTGGATTTGCAGAATAGCTACTAAGATGATGTGTGACATTTTTAGCAATATGCTAAGTGCAAAATCGGTGTTGCGTATGTGGAAAAACTACTTCAATTGCTTTTGACATTGCTTTTTCCTCATCTGCGAAAGGATTTTTCGGTTGTCCATTTCCCTCGGACTCCTTAAATGACTCGAACAACCAAATAAATGATTCTGTGGTCTCATCTAATAAAAATGCACAACCGAATAAAACATTTTTCCAATGATGGTTAACTCCAACAAATGGAGCACATATCAAATTGTACTTATTAATACGAAAAGTAGTATCAAAACATACAACATCACCAAAGCAATCATAATCTAACTTTGATCTATTATCTCTCCAAAAAAAAAATTGTCATCCGATTAAATTGATCCTCTTGCATTGAGTAGAAAAAGTTAGGATCCTCACTTTGCTTTAACTTTAAATGGTTTAGCAAAGTTTGTACATTCCCCACTTCAATCATTTCACCTTTTATTCTTTGCAAATAATTTCTCATATCCTTTTTTGGTAAATCCAATGTTTTCAGCTACACCAACCTCACTTGCTAAATAAAAGTATGACTTTGTTGGTCCTATACCGGCATTAACCATGGAATTAATGACAATTGCTTGAGTATTAGACACCTTACATCTTGATCTGAGAAATTGTCTTTTTTATGGTCTAGCAAGTTCATGGTTATGATGAGTATTGATATGAGAAATTTTCCATACTCCACCATCCACTGTAAAATGCACCATAAATTTGCAACATGTTCTCGTCTCTAATCTATTATACTTCTTTACTTCAAACAACTCTTCGTCCCTTTGAAACGCTTCCTTTGAACATAAAAATTCTCGATATTTAATATTTTTTGATGCATCTCTTCGAATATGCCCTTTATGGATACTAAAACCTTTTCTTAAAGCATATGTATTACATATATTATAAACTTCTTCATTTGAACATACTTCCATTCCCACAATGAGTTCTTCACAAATTTTTTCTCTACAACTTAAATCCTCCATTGGATAGAAAACCTGATTAAAAATATTAACATATCAAAAACCCATTCAACCCTTATTAATACCAACAAAATAAATACAACAAAAGATTATTTCACTTTCCCATTTATATAATATAAATACTTAAAATTTAGAGAAATGAAATTAATAAATTAAAGAGTAACATCCCTTGTGAGGCGGGCGGTCCCAACGATCCGGCCCCGTTTCGAAAATTAGGAGCAACAAATGGCTTTGTTAAAAATATTAACAACCCATTCAACCTTATTAGCATCAACAAACTAACTACAATAAAAGATTTCACTTTCCCATTTATATAATATAAATACTTAAAAAATTTAGAGAAATGAAATTAAAAAATATTAAAGGATACCTGCGATTTTTGCTAGATTATAAATTGCCCAAAAAGTGCTTCCGTCTTCCAACAAGATTTTGAAGAGAGAGAGAGAATGGAAAAAGCGGGAAAGAAAAAGAGATTGGAGCCATGTAATTTTCAATTAAAAAAAAAAAAAAGAACAATTGACAAAGCTTGTACACGTGTCACTTCAAAATGGGGTGGGTATGCTCGCCCCACACAAGATTTTCTCCTTGGTAATATATCATTCCAAGTCTCCAAATTATGATATAGCACCAATCCCTAACGACATTGGACAGTTAAATCTCCACTTGGCAAATAATAAAACATAAAAATAGATATCATTTATCCCAAGTGATCTCTTTATCTTTATTGGATTTTTTTTTTTCTTTCTATAATTAGTATCAAAGAATCTTGTTGCTTTGATTATGGGTAGTATTCGAGTTTGATGGCTCAGGAATCTTAAACAGGATTAAAAAGTTAGTGTTTCCTTGCAAATACGCGTTTGTGTACGTAAGCGCCGGCATATAAACATTACTATTTGTGTATATATTATTATTTATTCATGAAGATTTTTGTATAGAAGATAAGTGAAATTAAAGAGTGAGATGGGCACCAAACCTCATGGGGGACGATGAGTTTAGCTTTCAATTAGAAGAAATCCTACTTGGCCATGATATCATTGCAATTCGGCTATGCTGGAATGTACATTATTACCGTGGTGCCTTTCATGCATGGGCTCAATCATTGGATTCTTATCGTCCACAGGGGCGAATCTAGGATTTGGAGTAAGCATGGGTGGATGACCGGTTATCGTCGGTCACAATAAAATATTTCAAATTTAATATAACAATTATTTGTGCTAAAAATGAATATATATTATTTCTGTGACAATTATGGTTTTAACCCAATAAGTGACATATTGGGCAAGAGTTGTATGATTCAAATGAGGGTCTATGGTTCAAATCCTTTTAATTGCATCTAAACCTCTAAAGTCTAAACTTGAACATATATAATTTTGTTACATTTAGTGTCACAAGTTAATGAGTGCAATGATGGTCAAGGCCTCAACCATCTTGAAGTGGGATTAAGGGTTCGAATCCTTTCTCTTGCATTAGCTTTAGGAAAAAATTGTTGAATCAAGAAAATAGCACTATAAAATGCTTTGAAGAAAAATTGAACGCAGGGCCTCATATTTGATAGTGAAAGCTTCAACCAACAACGCTATGGGAGATTTTGGGAAGAAGGGGGAAGAAGGTGAATTATCAGATATATAATATAAATTTTTCACCTATTATCAACAAAAAAAAAGAGCTTCCGACGGATCCAGTACGGGCAGCCGCATCCACCACTAAGCTGTGGTCACACTAGTTTCACCCCTTGCATTTTTCTTGAAAGGTTTGTCTATATTTATATAGTTATTATTATTATTATTATTATTTTAATATGAACTTGATTATTAGACATATTACACAAGAGGATAATTTTCTACTCTCACAATATTTTATTTTTATTCTGCAGACATATAAAATAAATTAATAATACAATTTACATACTCTTGTGCAGAAAAATTAGGCCAAAGCTGACATTGATACTTCTTTCTTTACCTCAATAGATAGGAGCCTGGGTGGTTGATTCACAGCACTGCCGAATACTTCTTTCTTTACCTGATTAGATTGAAGAAGATAAATTCAAAACAGATACACAAGCAAAGTTCATTGAAACAGTAATAACAATCTCAAGAACAATGGTCATGACTTTGTATAAAGGCCCTATAGTCGATATCTTGAGGTACATTAAAGGCGGTAGCCACCATAGAGCCGCTAGTGACTCTGCCTATGGACATTGGGTTTGTGGCAAGATCATGTTAATTTCATGTATTGTAGGCTGGTCAGCCTTTTTATTGTTCAAGTAAGTTCTCTTCAAATTTTCGTTATATATTATCACCATGTAACCTATTAGATGGAGTAACGGGATTCTCTTTTATTATTTTATTTATATTTTGAGCAAAACAAGACGTTGAGGGAATAGCCAGGTATCTCTTACAGGTTTAGCATGTTTCACGGGCATGGTGGAAGGTGGAGTGGTGGCGTTGTTTATGGAACGCCATACGAGTGCTTGAGCTATTGGGTTCGACTTGAGACTTCTAGCAGCAGCCTATTCTGTGAGTACATTTTTGTAATGCTCTATTCCATCTTAGTTTATAACTATCACACCACCTTTGAAGCACAACTTCGAGAGTTGAGGCTCTTATTTCGATTATAGATTGATGACAATTCTATGTTGTCCTTGACAGGATCATTTGCTCAAGAATTGCATATTACATGCAAAACGTGGTGAACAAAGTACGAGGTCCAGTGTGTAACTGCATTTAGTCCCCTGAGCATGATAATCACAGCTGTTCTAGGAGTCATGATTTTGTATGAACAAATTCATCTTGGAAGGTACATATTCTGCTCAAACTGATATATAAGCCCCATTTTGTAGGGATTTTTTATCCCAAAAAATTGATTTTTTGACCGTTATTTTACTATTCAAGCCGTAATTTTTGACTTCTTCTCTCACATGTGGACCCCACTTTTCTTCTAACAGTCAAAAAATCAATTCTCAAAATCCCTACAAAACAGGCCCACAAAGCCTAGTGGGGTTCAAGCAATGCATATATATGTGTGCCATATGAGTCGGGGTGGACATTTTTTCTCGGAACGGGACCGAACTGGCCAGCTGGTTTCAAGTTGAAATGGTGCCAACTGATGTACTTATTGTGAATCTAATTGCAGCGTAATTGGAGCAATCATCCTAGTATTTGGATTTTACTCGGTGGTATGTGGTAAAAGTAAAGATAAGACCACCTCAGCAAGGTTTAACATACGATGCCGGAAAGGCCCAAGAATTGCCTGTGGTGGACATAAAAACATCAGCAAATGTTCATGATGACAATATTGTAACTGCTGGAAATCCCATGTTCCACAGCTAAATTTTTTACAGCGAGGGCCATGTAAACTTAAGTCCTGTCTCCTGTCCCAGCCCCCGTTCCCCTCGTCCCCACCTCATTACATGGGTGTACTTGTACATGAGCTATGCTACAATGATAAAGGGAGGTCACAAAATTAGGTTATAAAATAAAATCTACACCAATCATTTCAAAAACAGATTTTTAAATTATTTAAAATCAAAGGTTCAAATTTTGCCAACACACTTTGGCACTCCACTTTTGTACACCAATTTTGTAGGAGTAGAATTATTCCTTGTACATATATTGACTCTTACAACTATTCAACTTCTGTTCAAAACATCTGTAGTTCCAAGAGAAAACATCGCATTTGACATAGAATCATGAGAGAGAACAACTATAATCTGCATAGAATAAACAAATAAAGACCATGAAAAAATGTTTACCGGTGAAAATAATTGCCAGATTCAGAAGAATTAATAAGATGAAAAATAATTAGCAATCATTGGTTGACTGCATTTAAAAATCTGTGCAGTGGCAACAATAAATTGAATAAATACAACACGAGTTTTAGGACTTGAGAGGAGGTAGAAACTCAAGCAGAACAAGGTCCAACCCTCTGCCATAACTGAAGAATTACAATGGAATCGACAATAGAAACTTGAAAACCAGACCTAAAGTAAGCAGAAATGAAAAACTATATAAATTGTTCATCAAGGCACGAGCATCAGATGTACCAGAGGCACTTCCGGCTGGTCCATTCGCAGGTGGAAATCCTATACCTGCACCAGAGGAAGGCACCACAGAAGACTTTGGGTTCATTGTTGGAAAACCACCAGCCTCGGAAGGTGAAGGGGCTGGTGAAAATAATGAATCTGGAACTACTGTAGGAGGAGCAATAAGTTGAGGAAATTGCTGTGATCCTGTACCACAATCCCCAAAAAAATAAAAAATAAACAATGGTAGGAAAGTTACTGCCCATATAACAAGCAGCATTATGATAGAATACAGCATCTTCTAACATAAGACTGAATGGAAGAAATTAAGCCCTGATTCCTTCTGATAGTTAAACAGGGTGACAACAGAAAATGAATAGTTTTTTTTTCTTTTTTTGAAATGGGAAAACCATGTACACTAGCTGCTGCAGGTTTCAATTACAATGGAGAAGAAAGCTACAGGATTTTTCCTTGGGCATCTACACAAACAAAAGCACACACCGTAAAATCCTTTATATAGTAGAAATATTAGGGTCACCATATACATGCAAGGAATACCCAATTAAGTCAATCACGGTCAGGATGATAAGTGTAAACTATGATTAGGCTCTGCACAATCCGCACAATCCAACAACACCTAAGAAGTTTACAACTAAATTGTTTTTCATATATTAAATTACAACAAAACTCGTCATTATGACAAAATAAAGAGGTGAAATGGTCAAAGGAACAACACTCGATTGACATTTACCTGGGCATCTAGGTTGAAGAGACGAGGATAACCTGCAAGAAAGCAAAGAAGAATTAAAGGACAAAGCTTCTATTTCTATAGATCAAAAAATCAGAAGAATAACCATTCTTGCAAGACACAAGAATAAATTAAATAATGTATAAAACATATGATGAGGACAAAGAATCAATTTAGAAGCATAAGCATACCAGGTGGTGATGCTTCCATTGACAAAGCCACCATAACTGCAAGAAGTCACATTGCATCCAGCGCTCGACTGTTGTGTGGTAACATTTCCTAGCATGAGATTACTACTTCGGCACTGCATGCTCGAGCAAGAAACTGCCAATGAAGCTGGAGTGCAGTATAAACTGCAATAATTCAAGAAATCAGTTAAATAATTTCCTCACGTAGAGATGAGATTACCTCAAATACAAGGAAAACTGAGGATTCAAAGCATATGCCTATTGGAAGTTGCTCACTCACTTGCGGCTCCCTGGCCCACAACTACACTGCACACAGTGACTTGCAGTTATAGCATAACTCCCATTCGGTACAAACAAGCCGTAATCCAAAGCATACTTTGGAAATTTAGATGCACAGGCTGCAAAATGTATATGGAGAGTCATTTACAAATTTGGCCTAGTCGCCTTTCCAACATACATAAACCAAGCTTTTTTTGCTTGCAGAGAATCATTTACAAATTTGGCCTCATTTACCTTGCTTATATTCTTTTAACTAATAGATTTATTGAACACATAAATATGAAAAAAAAACTTTAACGAAATTTAACCAGTTCGCTAACCTGCCTTATACGTTGAACAATTTATTCACTATATGATAAGCCCCAAATTTTATTAGACATCCACTAAAACCCCGTTTGAGCTACATTAATGTAAGAATGAAATGAAAAATATAACCATTACAAACCCCACACAAGAGATAGAAACTCCAATATGGTAGCTTGATGTGATGAATAATGGTCATATTTTTTTATGTTATTGGGCAAATAATGAAAAACAAACAGGGGCTAAGAGACCATAGAACGTGTTGTCCAAAAAAATCATGATCAACTATGCTGTATGAGAAGAATGAACAAAATCTTTAATGAACATTTTAATGGTATACTGACCCTAACCGAGTCTCAAATTGGTAAGTTGAGGCTTAGTTTGTGACTTTGTGGGTTGATAAACAAATTGGGCCTCGTAAGTACAAGCCAGTTTATATGGTATCCATCCAAAGTTCTTGTAACTGAGGACCCTCAAGGGGATGGCCCTTGCTGCTGAAGGGGCGATTTTGGGAGAGCTACTCCCCGTAGAATGTTGGTTTTGTGAAGTTGCGAAGCGAAGAATATGGGTCCCTATGAACATTAAAAGAGCATGGTGGATCGTAACAACCTCTTTTAGTCCCATGCCACTAAGTAAAATCTTGTTTTGTGGGCTTACAACGGCAACCTCCCCTCTTATAAGCCACTTGTGACTTATGAGGGTGATTTCTACCAATACCTTTGTAACACAAGGACACCTACTCTGTCATTTTCAGTTTCCTAAAAAGAATAATTCCAAAACCATAAAAAATTCCTCCAAAAGTGAATTGTGGAAGAAGAAAAAAGGAAATGTAAATTTCTTTTCCAAAAGAAGAAACGAGTAATTATGAATAGGGAACGGATAATTGAAGGAAGTAGAGGAAAATTGCGTAGGACAAAAATGTTACATGGATACTCATAAAAAGCAATTCATATACAATAACAATAACCTAATGAATTCAAAATAGGATCTCCAGAAGTTACTGATAATAAACATAAGGCATGGATCCGTTGTGATTACAATTTTGAAACCCAATTATCATACAAAAGGATATATATTGTAGCCATGTACACACAATTTTGACATTCTTCTTAATTTCATGGTACTCTACATATTTCAATTCTTCATCAACTTGAAAAGGCTTGCAATTTATCTCTCGCCGAACATAAACATAGCACAAGTGTAGAAGAACTTGTTAGGATTATTGTTGGGGTTTTATTAATCACGAAATGCTGTTGAATTATATCAAATATGTTGTTGCTTCAATTTTATTCCAATATGTACACAAATGGCCAATTTTCTCGGATACCAACTGCAATTGATTAATTGAAGTTGCTGTAAATCCTTAATGCATTCAACTCCAATATTATTTGAAAATCTCCAAAAGCAACATATACAAACAAGCAAGCAAACAACAGAACAAACCAAACTAGGAATAGAATCAGTACCAGATAAGGGAATCGCAAGAATGTCACCCTCCTTAATGGCAGGGCTCCCCAACTGATTCATATTCATAAGATCCGTCAAAGTTGTAAAATATCGAGCTGCAATCCCCGACAGTGTGTCCACAGGTTTCACCACATAGGACATATAAATCGCAGGCAAATTGTTATCACTATTGTTGAAACAAGTACAGGGGAGTGGAATATTAAGCTTAGTCCCTACATTAAGCACAGAAGGGTCAGAGATACCAGCATCGGGATTGGCCTCATTGATCTGGTCGGCCGATATAAGTCCGCCATATACAGCGGTGGCGATGGAGGCAAGGGTGTCGGAAGGGCGGGTCTTGTAACTGGTGGTGGAGGATTTACGAATCCCATCGACACAAGAACAGGGGATGGGGATTTTGAGGAAGAGTTGAGATGGGAGTATGTGGTTTTCAACATCCGGGTACGAGATGTCAATGGAATTTGAAAGGAGAAGCGAAATGGGGTCGACGGAGAAAAGCGAAGCGACCTCTGAGACTTTAAGGTCGGTATAGAGAGTGTAGCCCACAAGGGCACTGCAGGTGTCAGAGTTGGAACATGGCTCTATTGTGGACTTTGAGGTCGTCAGTGAGAAGAAAGTAGTAAAGCAGTACAGTACGAAAATGGGAATGGTGAATGCGTTTCTGCTAGCCATTTTGAACATCAAGGGTTTATCTCAGTTTAGGTGAATGCTGGTTTATTTTTTTTGGGCTTACAAGAAAGGCTTTTCTGCAGGGAAAAACTGAAAAGGTAGTATTTTTTGATTTTTGTGGTTATTTTAACGTATTAGGGTTTGGTTAATTCCTGGTTCGAGCTGAATCCAGCTGCACTGTGAGAGAACGTGTGTGAGAGAGAAAGTAGAACTTGAAATAGTGCAGATTGTATGACAGAGAAGAAGGAAGAGCGTTCTTCCGACAGTGCCAACTTTCTTGAACATTGGGACAAGCATTCTCTGGGAAATCCGCAAAATGTCCCTAATGTATACTCTATGAGTGATTTAGTCCCTAAAGTTTTTTCTTGACTCGGAGGTCATCAAATTATGATTTATATGCTTTAATGATCCTTTCTCACGGTTTCTGCCTACATTTGATTTCCATTTTACAAAACTTATTTTAAACTACACATTTTTTTATAAAATAATTTTACACGCAAATTTAAAATTTTTTCTTACTTTTTAACCATATATTCTTCTATCATATATTATTACAAAATGCATTTTGGCCCAAAAATAGGCTTAAATAGGCATGCTAATTTCTTTTAATTTAGGGAAATTGGCACATTTAGTCCCTAAGCTATAGTATTCTGCGCAACTGGTCCTTAATCTTCAAATTTTGGCCCATGACTCCCTAATTTATCAATTTACTGCGCAAATAGTTACGGTTAGAGTACTTTTTATTGAAAAAGACAAAAATATCCTTGTATTTAATTAAAATTTTCCCAATAAAAATTTAATTATTTTTAAAATAATTTTATCAAACAAGGGCTAACGCGGAAACGGGGAGCAATTCCCGCGCGGGAAATACAAACAAGCTATGACCTGTTACCGATTCCGCGGGTCATCTTATGCTCCCACAAACCGCTAGTTAAAATTACATTTTTTCTTTTCCCAACAAAAATATTCTTTTACCTTTTACTCCCCGTCCCGATACCCTCTATAAGAAGTCACTGCGCGGCAAAACCCCTTTCTCCTCCACCATCAAACCCCAATTCAGCTATGGAGGGGACGCGCGTCAGGCGGCGATTGGTTCAATCGACGCTTTTCCCACACAGAGATGGTTCAGTCAACGAAGCTGAAAATTGCGATGGCGATGAATTTGAGGAAGGTACTGATTGTAAAGAAGAGGAGGAAGAGGAGTGGTGTATAAATGGCAAAAAGAGGAAGGGAAAGGCCAATTCAAAGGCAAAATCGAAAACTACACTGTTGCAGGCACGAGCTTCTTCTAAAAAGGTATGCGTGCTACATCTTGCTGCAAGGAATGTACATTGAGGTGAAGAAAATTTTTTTGGGTGATTTTGTTGCAGATTCACGATTAAGATTTTTTTTTGGACTTTGTTTTTGAGCTGTTTATAATTGAAAATTGATCACTTCTCAAGGTGCATCGAAATTATAGATATCACTAGTTTTTAAGATGATTAGATTTGGAGGTAGGTAGATTTTATAATTAGAGTTTATATACAGGTACATAGTTAAGAAGACTTGTTAAGTTTGTTAGATAGAAATTCGAATTTTTATAAGTACTGTGCTAAGATTATGTTGTGGGCTAAGAAGGAAATGGTGACAAGAACACATTTTTCTGCATGTAATTTGAGAGGAAATGGAGACAAGCACACATTCCATGCCGTGATGGCCTGGCCAATCCGATACTTTACATAAAGCCAAAATAGTTGCGTTTGTGAATTCTGCCTCGTATTCATTTTTCTGCATGTAATTTCAGGCTACCGCAAATGGTAACGAAACTTCAGGCAAGCAAGTGGGAGATGGAAATTTCCCAGCTATAGTTCGTAAGTGAATGCCTTGCTACAAATATCTGCCTTCTACCTTCTGTCTTACCCCAGCAAAAGTGAAGAAGAGGAAGAATGTTTCTATGCTGCTTGAGTTTACACCTCGAATTCTAGAAAGTTTAAATTGAAACAATAAAGAGTACATTTCAACTCTGATTCAAATTGTTTGGATTTTTGACAGAGTCTGATTTCTTTCTAAAGGCCTCGGAAAGATCACAGCAGAAAAGGCAGCAAAAAGAGCCAATCCTCATTGAATCCCCTGACGATGACGAGGAGACCAGCTCGCCTCCAAACTCAGCTGCCAGTATATTGGTTATCTTATTTATTGAACAAGTTTATGCCAATAGCTCATAAGCATACAACAATGCCTGATAATTTAAATGACAAAAAATGTTAGATTATACAGTAGTTGCTTGCAACTACAACTATTCTTTTTTCCTTTTCTTTTCCCTATGCTTCAAGAAGTCGGAGGGGTCAATCAATTTAAGTCTTGCTTCGAGTGTGGAGCATGGAAGTATATGGAAGAGAGAAAGTGATGATGGATGTTAGTAAACTAGAACCAAAATTATAGATGGGCAAACAGGAGAAGAGAAGAGAAGAGAAAGGAGAGGATAAATAATAGAAGGGGGAGAAAATAAGAGAAATTTGAAGGAGGAAGTATTTATTTATTTAACAATCAAGTCTAATGAAAAGAAGTATTAACCCTCT